TCCTGTATTTTTCACCAATACAATCAATTTTGTATTTGTCATAAATATTTTTAAATATATTAGCAGTTTCCAGAAGTTAATTTTTTAAGTAATCTTCTTCAAAATAAATGTCCTTTTCATAGAGCCACTCCTTAATTTGACGTTTCACCCAATATTGTTTGGGAAAATTTAATTTCCTAGAGTGATAAGATGCATTGTCCAAGATAATGACATTCTTTTTATTTTTTGGGAGATTTGGTATTAACATCTCTTCAAACCATTTTTCCAATAGATCTCCGTCCATCTCTTCATGGTAATCTTCAGCACCTTTTTTGGCAAGAAAAGTGATGTCAGCACCTTCAACAAATCCGTCTTTGTTTCCTGCATGGACTAAAACAAATCTTGGTCCTTTTCCGGTCGGAGTTTTTAAACCTGTGGTAAGTCCATTTACGAAAGCCTGTCGGCTATTTTTTATTGTTGTATCTTGCCATACTTGCCCATTGGTTATTCCAGTATTAACCCATGATTCGTCCATATAAATGATATTGGCTCCTTCGTTCCTCAGTTTCTTTATTTCCCGGAGATAGTGACGCCTCCAAGCGACTATTTCTTGTTTTTCTATTAATATTGAATTTCTACCTTGTTTGCCATATATAAAACCCATGTCGTGCAATAGTCTTCTCAACGTACTCTTGGAAAAATTCGGAAGATCCATTTGCTTAATTTTTTCTAGTACTACGTCAAGGGTTGGAGGAATATTGTCCATAAAAAAACCGTGCACTACTTGTCTTATTCTAGACCGAGTTGCTTCATCATATCTATTCTCACGACTATTCAAATAACCGGTTCTTTTTTTTCTTATAGGAGTTACGAGTGGACCATTTTTACTTTCACTTCTATATCGGAATATCGTTCGCTCAGAGACTCCAGTCATAGCAGAAACTTCCCGCACTATTGTTGATACACTTTTATCATTATTACTGTTTGATAAATAGTTAAAAACATTTAACACTATTTTTTTGCATTCACTATTTAACAAATTACCGTTTTTGAATTTTATTACACTCGCGGCCATTTTGACACTGACACGACACAAACGTCTGATATCAACTGAAAATTCTTTTAATGACTCTCAAGTATTTACCTGAATTTATAATTGCTGGCATTAGACAATAATTTTGAATTTATAAATAGGTATATTTTTTTAATTCTAAATTATTTTTTAATGTCTGTAACTGTAAATGCAGGTAGAGAAAGTGTGTCATTAAAAGGACGTTAAGATCAAAAACGGATTATACAAATAATTATTTCATTTCCACGAATTGTAAACAATTTTGAACAGAAGATATAATTCCGAAAAGACCAGATTTCCGAAATATAACTTTCTATTTTTAAAATACCAACAGAAAAATTATATAATTAAAAAAATGTAGTATTTTTCCGTTTCACATTCATAAATATTTCCGAAATTATAATTCTTTTATAGGAGCCGGCCCATAACGTACGATTGTAGGTACGATCGATTAAAAACTGACAACAATGTAGTTATTTCTGGCATATAGAAAGGCCTATCTCTGTAACGCTGCCATCTGAATGTGAATTTATCTATAGTAGTAGAGAGAAGTTATTGCTGTTCTTCGAGTTTGGCAATTGCTCTTGTTTGTTTAGTGTTATTCAAATGCATTCTAGACACTTTTGGCGTGTTTAATAGGTTTTTATTTTATTTTTCGATACGCGCGAAATTTTTGACAAGCACTTTAACATTTAGCAAATCCGTATGACACTGCGATTTTACAGTATTACAGTGTAATGTAAAAATTAAGGTGTAAATTATTCAGTGAAGGAATCGGACGGACGTGGTTCTCGGATCGTGGAGCAAATAGAGTGTAGTGTTAGCAAATCATACTGTTCAGTAATAAAACGAACAATGAATATATGGCATTAGGAACTAGCTAGTATAATGCTTTTAAAAGTTTTAAAAACGAAACGCCTGTGGCGTTTTGAAACTTTAAAATACAAAGATTAAAAAACTGCCCGTTCGAGAAATTTTTTTGTGTATTTAAGGTTATCCAGGTTTAAGGGACCAGCTGTAGGTTCAATAATTACTGATTAATTTTGAAATCTATGCAAAAATGTTAAAACAATAAATTGCGTAAAAGATAACCATTTTGATGCATTAAATTTTTTTCTTTAAACAATTAAAACAGGTTTAATTAATTTATGTTAAACCCACTTTTAAAATATTTGCACAGAGTTTGCAGTGTAGCAAGCATATAGAACTTCCAAAAGAATAATGCCGTAAGATCCAAAAATGGAATTTTTGACTATTTTTTGTCGTATTTGCAAGTAAAATACTGTCGTAACTCAAGGAAACATCCATAAACTAACGTCGTAAAAAATTTGGACTTTTTATTACCCTCCAATTTAATTTTAGAAAAAATATGCTGATGTCATAAATACTATTTTGTTGTTCTTTATTTTCTATTGGGAAAGTTACTTCAGAATCTATATTTTCTACGTCGTTCCACTCGAAATATTCAGATTAATCAGAATTTTTCAAAAAGCATAAAGTTATCCTATTCAAACTTTATGTTTTTATATGATTATCTGATACTTTGAATAATGCTGCCCTCTGGTAGAAGCTGGTAAAAAATTATATTTATAGATACAAAAACCGACAAATTGAAATACACCAGAAACGACGTCGGATGTGTTTTCATGCCACCCTTCCTAAAGTCTCATACTATCGTATTAAGCAAAGTCCCATTCCTTCTTCCCTTCGACGTAGTTTATGAATGTTCCTTAATTTACATTATATTCAATGATAATGGACATTACGACGTTAATAAATTATTCAAACTTGGTAAAGTATTGTCGCATGTTACATGTGGCAGTATTGTTGCTTTTGAAGTTTCAATACTATTCTGGGGGTGCGATATGCCTACGAGTATATGTTTTCAATAGGATGTTGCCTCTTGTTGTCAGCTTATTCGATATTGACCTTATGAGCATGCCAGTGACTTCGCTTAAGGCTGTTTTATCGGTACACCAAAACCTAGATACAGTGTTTTCTCTGTTATTTACCGACAAAATATCTCGAAATTTGGACACGTTATTCAAAATTATGTTGCCTTTAAACTGATGGTTTTACTTTTTTAATTTTTTTGAAAGTTCTTTTGAAATATCGGATTATACAGTTTAACGTTCTATTATAACCAAACTTTTTACGCCTATCACTTGAAAGAGTTTTTTTTCTGTAATCGTTGGTTTTTTTTCACCTTTTTATGTCCAGTAATAATCGAGAAAAGCGTGTTCAAACTTTTAAGAAAATTGCTAAAAAATACTGAAATCTAATAGTGAAACGTGTTACTCATCATTGGCATTTAGTTTCACCGTTATCTTCTGCGTGACGTCAAATCTCTTGAACGTACGGTCAGATAGTTTGATTTGAAATCAATTTCAAGCTATAACTGCGAAATTGTTTATTTGTTTGTGACAACTAATTGTATTTTTTTTTATAATAATTTTATGTTATTTTAAATTTATTATAAATAAACACCATGATGTTTTTTGCAGTCACGTTTCACAAATTTATATTCAATACTATATTTAGCTAAGATATATAAATTAAAAATGTGATAATTATTTTTAAAACATCTACGATAATCAAACAAAAAAGGTATTCCCGACAAAAGTAATTTGAATGGAGAATAATGCATTTGTTGTCATTAAACCACCCGCCGCGCCGGCCGGCGCCACTGCGAAAACAGCTGTACCCGTCGCCGGCTGGCGTAAGCAGTGAGGAAAAGTAAGTGATACGCCCATTTCAAATCGCAGTGTGTTTTGACTGCTAAAACAGCCTTAAAAATTAACTAATATTAATTAGGGTTATTGAGAAACACCAAAGTTAATTAAAATATGCCGTGACTCATTTTATTTAAGTTTACAAAAGCTAAATTAAAAATTTTATTTGGTCTTACATTTATTTTGTAATAACTGATTGTCAGAAATAGCAAAATGGGTATGTTTCATTAAAATTGTTTTGTACTTAACCGTCTATACAGAGCTGCTCAAGATTACACTGCTTATAGAGTGAAAAATTTTATGGCTTCTAGAAATAAGTGCCAACTTAGCGGTGTTCCTCAAATATGCAAAATGTAATTGAATTTTTTCATATAGCACTTTAAATTATGAAAGACCGCGAACTGTTTTAGATAATATACTTTGATCTTTACCTTAATCACATTAATTAATTATCCCTGTTATTAGCACCTATATTAATGTAATGCAATATTATACTACAAATGTCTTTTTTATTCACTATACATATTTGTATATTATTTCTGAATGACAATTCTTGCTGTTATAACTTGTGATGTAAAATAGAATATGAAATTTTTAAATCTGTGTTTTAATTCTTTTTACCTCTATTTTAAGCTGAGATAAACATACAGTATAATATCCATATTTGGCAATATTTGTAACTTAAAGTATTTTTTTGTCAAATTTATTCGAGTTAAATTTCATCTATGAACTATCTACCTTGATGGATATACAATGTTTAATGATACTAAAAAAATATCAAATGCAAAGGAAGCGTAGGAAGAAGTAAATTTTCGTAGCTACACAATATTCGTGAATTTCTTTGGCTGTAGTTCTATTAAACTATTCAGACACGCAATAAACAAAATTATAAATGCTTGGATGATTTCCAATCCCTGATAGGAGCGGAACTTGAAGAAGAAGAAGAATGAGCACATATGATTGATTGTATAGTAATTTCTAATCGGTTAAAATTTAACCAACGTAAAAAAAAACGATTACCAAATCGCTAGACATTTGCTACTAGGATAAGTGAAACGAGCTTACTAAATTTAATAGTTGGGATAATAGACAGTTAGGAGACTGTCAAAGATTTGATAGCGTCAATTAGAGATTTGAAACACATGAACATCGATAGAAAATTATACCAACAATTAACATGATAACGTGACAAAAATGAAACTACATGTAAGTGTAAGTTATTTATTTAAAAGAATATTTGCAATGAGATGAACAACTTCTGGATGTGTGATGGCTTCAAGAAACTCATTTGTATCGTCATTTCCATTACTCGTATAGGTATCAGAGCGTTCAACATCATGAAATCGATTGGCTTGTTGATAAAGAAATTCCAAAAATTCATCTTTTGTCAAAACAGGGATAGTGTGCACTACATCTTGAACGTCGATTGTGGTGGTTAGCTCTGTTTTACTATTAGTTGCTTGACATTCATTACAAGGTTTTTTATTTGATAACTTGTCTTGATAAATTTTTTTACACTTATTAATTGTCTCCATAAACGAACTCTTGTTGTATCCTAAAATAACCTGAAAATCAATCATTATTAATAAAGATTGTACTCAATATTAAATCCACACACACGCACATATAGAAAAGATAACTGCAAAAAAAGCACAAATAACTGAAATCAAAAGGACTGTTTTCCCGGTTATTCCTGATATGTTCATGGACGCCTTAAAGTCCTCAGATCTGAACCCCTTTAAACCGAAAGTATGGCCCGATGACATTAATTATATATTTATCACCTGGCCTGTCAGAATAAAATACCATTTCTTCTTTTCTACAACATCCAAATAAAATATTTTTCATAAATTTTTCAGAACTCTTAACTTCAACTCGTTATCTTTAAAGGTAAAATTTCCTTAAAATATTACCCATTGACATTTAACTCTTCCTACATACTAATCTTGATTTAACTGAGATCCCACTCGTCTTCGTAGGTATCAGGACAACTTTTCAGCCATCGAAGCAAATTTAAGAATATCTGCGAGTTCTCAAATATTTACCGCCACTTCTCTCTTCTTTTCCACTATAGCTGGATTTATAGTTTGACGGACTGGAGACGTAACAAACGGACTGTAAATATTATCTCAATTTATAAATCGACGGAGTGGAATTTTTGCGCATGAGTAGAAACTGGCTAGAGTTGGTGACCATGATACTATGATATCCTTTTATTATTTATTATTAATATTTTATAAATTATTAACTTACTGTCTTCTTCTTCTTCTTCCTTCTAGTATGTAGGCTTTAAAGCCTGTTTCTTCTTCAATATTAGCCTCCTAAATTGTCGCACCATCTTTTTCTTGGTCTGGCAATACTTCTTCGTCCATTTGATGACATCTCGTGCTATTCTATCCTCTGCCATTATGCTGATATGTTCGTTCCACTCCTGTTTTCGTTTTGTCACCCATCCATTTATGTCTTCTATAGGGCATGCTCTTCTCTCCCTATCCAATAGACTTCTCCCTGATATTCTTCGGAGTATTTTCATCTCTGTTGTTTCTAGCAGTCGTCTCGTTTTAGATGTGTCAGGTCTTGTCTCCGCCGTGTATGTTAATATAGGTCTAATTGCTGCTTTATAGATTCTTGTTTTTGTGTCTTGTCTTTGGTGTTTGTTCTTCCAGATTCTGTCATTAACTTACCGTCCATTGTAACAAATAATCAACAAAATTCGAATATGTTGATAAACAACTTTACAAAATGGCACAACATTCTTGCTTATGATTGGCCAGACGCAAGTAACGCACTGTAAAAGATGAAAGTTGACCATCTCTTACGTTCCGTCATGCGTTTACGTTCATTTATAAATAAGAGTACACAAAATTCTATGTTTATCTTTTTCCAGTGCGTCCAGCTATAAATCTATACTAAAATAAACTATAAATCCAGCTTACCAAACTGTACTTTCATTATTCCATTGTAAATCCATTTTTTAGATCAATCTAAAGTTTTAATTAGAAACTTAAAAAATTAAAACTCGTTATTGCATACCACGCATGCCCAAGCAACCGCTGAGTTTATCTAGGGGAAATAAAGTACGCTTAGTGAATTTAACAGCGATTTGTCATCGAGGCGACTGAACGCTACCATAGTCAGCTGTCTAGCCGTTGAGGTCGCCTGAACACACCCATTGACGAAACTGTCACACGTTAATACTCAAACTCAAGAGCATGAACGAAGCATTAGTTTTGATGTTTTCTCCTTTTATTCAACGATACATAACTTCGGCAGAAATTGCTAATTCCACATTATTTGAAAAAAAAAACTCATATTTTTTTCAAAAATACTACTATTTCTGGAAAAGAATAAAAATTCTATTCTATTCTATAAAAAATGTACTACTCTTTCTGGAAAAAAAATCCAGTGAGAAAATAAACAGAGGCGAAAGGCATTTCTCATCTCCAATATGAAACATAACTCTGCACTGTCTACCAAAACGCCACAACACAGACTCACTGTAGCAAATCCCACAAAAAATTCGTGTTTTATCTCTGGGTACGTTGAGAACTTGAAAGTGAATTCTCTCCGACAGTTGGGTTCCCCCTTGAAACGAGATGATCTAAATAATTAGAATGTAAATATGATGAAGAATTGTAAAATTTTACCAACAATATAAAGCCAAAGAAGTTAAAATAACTCTCAGCGACTTTACTGCCAAAGTAGGAAATAGAGCGGTATAATTGGATAAAGGAATAAACGAAGAGATATGTTGGTCCAGCTCTATCAGGAAGACAGAAGAAACCCCCGCAAGAGAATGAACAACATATGGTTAGGAATCAAATTAATTTCATCCTAGTACACAAACGATTTTAGAACAGCTTTAAAAAAAAAGTAGCCGCTTACCCAGACTTTGGCTACACGAATTTATAACAAATGTGAAGAAATAACAGGAGACACTCAATTTGGTTTCAAAATTGGTTTATATAAAAAAGAGGCAATTATTTGCATAAAGTTGCTGGGATAGAAATACTACGATCAAAGAAAAGAAGTTTTCATTTGCTTCATTGATTTTGATACAAACGTTAAACGAAATTGGGCTCGGCGATAAAGGCATGATAATGATTCAACATTTATATTGGAATTAAAAAGCGGAACTAAGGATCACCAACGACGTATCTAACTAAGAAATGGAGGTAAGGTGTAAGGCGGGGTTGTATTTTCTCCCCACTTGTGTTTAATAACATTTATGTAGAAAAGATATTGGCTGACGATAGGGCCAATATAGACAAGCTGTAAGATTTAATGACTATCAAAAATGTAGTGAGAGAGAGTACGGAATACAAACATATCAAAAACCAAATATATGGTAATCAGCAGATAAGCTCATATGAAATCTAAGTTGAATATAAATAAGAGCAATTGAACGGGTTAAAGGATTTAAATTTCTTAGAGCCACATAAAAAACAAGTGGGAGTAACCTTCGTTAAATTTGATAAATACCTCCTTCGCCGTGAAGATCCTTTAACCCTTAGAATCCCGGTATTGAAATACTACATACTCTCCATCCTGATATACCCAAGTGAAACCTGGTGACTTAAAGTGAGATCTTTGAATCGTATGAAAACTTTCGAAATGCGGTGTCTCAAAAGGCTGCTTAGAATTCCATAAATGTACCATGCAACAGCTTCTGAAGTTCTAAGAAAAGCTAATGTCCAAAGAGAATTGTTAAAACTCGTTAAGTAGCTAAAGGTTTCATCTTTTTCTTCTTGTGCCCTGCTCGATTTTAGTGCGTTGAGGTTTCATACTTAGGCCCTATTCTACGAGATAACAAATATAATCTAAATATCATCTTGATGAATAAATTTGGATGTCGAAGAGGCCCTGGGCGAAAGCAACATTGACGGTTCAGAGACATAAATAAGAAACTGGTACCTGTTATCAGTACGATAATAAGAAGAGCGAGCAGAAGAAAGAGTCAGAGAGGTAAGTGACAAATAAAAGAATGAAAAACAGAATAAATGCAATGGAAATATTTTGGAAAAAAAGCTGCAGATTAACACTAATGGACAAAGTGTGAAATGAACGAATTAGAGAACTAATGAATGTGAAGGAGACACTAAATGACGAGGTAGAAATCCGAAAATGACTCTGACAATACTGTTGTGATTTGTCTCCTTCCTACAACACAAGTAGCGGGTCAGACGTTGCAAGTGGATAAGTATGTAGACTTGTATTCACCAATCCTTCCCCGAAACAATTTTTTTAAGTCAAATGTTATAATAATGCTTGATGAATTTAAAGCCAATTTATTTTACGTTGCACTGTTATAAACGATATTTATTCACAAAAGTGTTTAACTAAAACTTTTTCTGTGAAGCGCTTGTATTCGCGAAGTGAATTGAAATTTTAACTGTCCGGCACGGGAACCAAAAGAGTAGTCTGGTGTCGCTGGGATGACTATTCCGCGTTACAAATGAGAGATGAGTCTTTTTACACAAATTTTGAGATATCGAGATGCACCTACTTTCAGATACGGGGACTGAGTACGGAGTCTCTGATGCCGCTGGAATAACTACCCCGCGTGAGAACCAAGAAAGAAGTCTCTGATAGGCCGGTATGTACCTACTGTCAGGTGCGGGGACCAAGAATGGAGTCTATAGACCGGAGCCCAAGAATATAATGCTGCTTCAATCCAACATTTTATAGTAAATTGGGACCCGCAAAATTTCAACAGTTTTTAATGAACTTTAAACGTTCCAACGATGGGTTCTAAGAAGCTACTTTTTCTATATATTTACGAAGAAACGTCTTCTTCTAGTTCAATGACCGTTATCGATCGTTGGATATAATGTTGGCTACCATATTCGCTATCGTGACTTTATTGACAGCAGCTCTAAATAACGATGTAGTTGATTTTCCATACCATTGCCCAAGATTTTTCAGCCATGATGTTCTTCTTCTACCAGGACCACGATTACCTTGGATCTTTCCCTGAATGATCAAATGTAAAAAAATCATATTTTTCAGGGTGTCTCATAATGTGACCGAAGTATTCCAGCTTGCGTTTCTTTATTATATTGATCAGTTGTATTGTTTAGTTCAGCCGTCTAAGAACCTCCTCATTTCTAACTCTGTCGACCCAGCTTATTTTCAGTAGTCGTCTATATATCCACATCTCAAAGGCTGTCAAGCGTTTACGGATAGCCTCAGTTAGAGTCCACGCTTTCACACCATACAGCAGGACAGAAAAGATGTAGCAAGATGTCATTCGAACTCTAAGGTCAATGCTAAGATCGTGACTGCAAATTACGTTTCTCATTTTTACAAAGGCAGCTCGGGCTTGTTCTATTCGGCTTTTAATTTCTGCGGTTTGATCCCAGCTCTCATTGATATTACTGCCGAGATACACGAGTTTCTCTACTCCGTCCAGTGTGGCATCTCCGACTTTAATACCGTCATCCTGTATATAATTTTGTTTGCTAACTATCGTATATTTAGTTTTCTTAACGTTGAGTTTCAATCCATACTGATCACAAGTCTGTTTTATTTTGTTCATTAGATTTTGAAGGTCTTCTCCGCAATTAGCAAGCACTAAGGTATCGTTGGCATATCTAATATTGTTGACGGTTACTCCATTCACAATAATACCTTCGGTTATCTCCGTTAAGGCTTCCTTAAATATTTCCTCCGAATATTAGTTAAATAGTAAAGGCGACAATATACAGCCTTGTCTCACTACTCTATTAATATTTATTTCATTCGACAGTTCTTGTTCAACCTTTATTCTTGCCACTTGATGCCAGTATAGATTTGTAATTATTCGTAGATCTTGATCGTAGAAGAAACGGCATAATAAGCGTTGGTACCAGGAAAAAATATTCATGACCAGTTGTGGTCGTAAAAATAATACCTTTTTATATTGAAAAGAGGAGAATTGGTGGTAACATCAAAGCGTGTTTAGATACTGAACGAAACAATCTGTTCTATCAGGCATCTCAACGGAAAAACGAACGAGGCAAAAAACTTGTTTTGTTTGAGCTGGGATATATCGAAAATAAATAGAACATATTTTCGTGTTTTATTAATAATTGCAAAAAAAATAATGAGGGATTATTGGTGATATGTTAAGACTTTAAAAAAATACAATTCGGGCATATGCGAAGGATGGACGTGACAAGAATACCGCTAAGAACTTGGAAATAAAAATAAAATAAGAGGAAAAGAAGACGTCTTAGATGACAGTGGAACGGACAAATAATAATAGCAATGAAAAAAGAGATCTCACTGAAGAAGGTATATAAGATAAATACGACAAGAAGAAATTGTGATTGGTATGTGGTAAATGGCAAACAGGATATGCTGTGTAAAACCACGGATAAGTAAGTAAGTAAGGAAGGGACAAGTAAGGAATATCTGTTGTAGAGTATCCACACACAGAATTTTTAATATTCATGTTAAATTTAATTAGTAAAATAGAAGATTAAAAATAACATGAATTTAGTTCAATATCAAAGGCGTGTACTAATAAAACATATTGATAAACAATATGTAGGATTACATTAGAAAAATTTAGGTACGCAGTCTTGTATTTCTTCTTGATGTGCCTATCCGTTACGAATATTGGCGATCATAGCTGCACAGATGTTGTATTAAACCAGATTCTCAGGTTCTTTAACCAAGATTTTCTTCTTCTCCCTGGACCTCGTTTTAGAAATATTTTTCCTTGCAGGATGGCTTGAAGGAGAGCATATCTGGATTCATGTCGCATATGTCCGAAGAATTTTAACTTTCGAGATTTGATGGTGGTTAGTACCTCTCGGTTCTTATTCATTTTTCTGAGGACCTCCTCATTTGTGACTCAGTCAGTCCACGGGATCTTAAGTATTCTCCGATATAGCCACATCTCAAATGCTTCCAGTTTTCTGCACATATCTTTGTTCAAGGTCCACGATTAAACACCATAAAAAAGGACAGAAGACGTAGCATCGCAGCATTCTTACTTTTATATTAAGAGAGAGGTTGTGACTCTTAAAGAAGGCCCCTATCTGATTGAAGGAGGATCTAGCTTTTCCGATGCGTGCTTTGATCTCCTGGTTGTTGGTCCATTCTTCATTTATTGTGGTGCCGAGGTTGTTATATTGAGTCCATATTGTTGAATATACGTGATTTTGTTCATAAGAGCTTGTAGGTCTTTTAAGTTGTCCGTAAATATTTTGGTGTCATCTGAATATCTGATGTTGTTTAGCCGGTAACCATTTAGTAGACTATCTTTTTCAGTTTCGTGCAAAGCTTCGATAAATATTATTTCAGAGTAGAGATTGAAGATTAGAGGAGACAAAATACAGCCTTGCCTCACTCCACGCATGATTTTCATATAGTCAGTGTGTTCACCTTCAACTCTGAGATTTGTGGTCTGATTCCAGTAAAGATTTCTAATTATTTTCAGATCTTGGTTGTTAATTCCTGCCTCTTTTAGTATTTGTCCAAGCTTCCATTCCGTATAGTTAAATAGAAAATATGTAACATCTTAAAGCCCTCAATCTGAGATGCAACTGAAGGTCTCTGTTGGTAAGCATTGTCTTCATTTTCACAAATGCTTGCCTTGCAGTTTCAATTCGGACTTTGATTTCTCTGCTTTGGTCATTTTTGTCAACAACCCAGGTTCCCAGATATTTGTATGTCTTCACTTTTTCTATTATCTATTCTAGATTAAAAGATTAAATGGGCAAATGTAATGGCCAACGTCCTTAAGGATAAGGCACCGTAAGAAGAAGACTTTTTCTATTTGGGTTTGCTTTATCATTAATCTTTCATTTCCATGTTGCGATTTTGAGACAATCATAAATTTAGTTTTTCTCTTATTTATTTTTAGTCCGTATCTAATGCAATAATCGTTAACTCTATTTACCAATTTTTGTAGCGATTCCAGGGTGTCTGCCATTATAACGGTGTCATCAGCGAATCTTATAATATTTACTATTATTCCGTTTACAGAGATTCCATCACCCAGATCCGTTATCGCTTCCTGGAATATGGCTTCACTGTACACGTTAAACAGTAATGGTGACAGAACACAGCCCTGTCTTACTCATCTCTTTATATCTATATGTTCGAACTTTTGTTCTTCTATCTTTATATTGGCCTTTTGATTCCAATACAGATTGATAATGATAAGTCTCGTCTGTCTATATCTTTGTTTCTCAGTACTTCTATTAGTTTTTCATGTCGGACCCTGTCGAATGCCTTCTCGAAGTCGATGAAACAGGAATAAATATCTTGGTTGATATCTAAGCATCTTTGAGAGAGGACATTAAAAGCAAACAATGCTTCTCTCGTTCTCAGTCCCTTGCGGAACCCAACCTGAGTATCATCCATATCCTCTTCTAGTTTTCTATATAATCTTCCATGAATCACCTTTAGAAATATTTTGAGGGTATGTGTAATATTGTCCTATAGTCTGAACATTCTTTGACATATACTGTTTTTGGTATTGCTACAAAGGTGGACACGAATCATTCCTGTGGGATTTTTCCAGTTTTATATACTTCATTAAATAGGTCTAGAAGTACAGGTTGAGTTTCATCGTCTAGACATTTCAGTAGTTCTGCAGGTATTTCGTCTGGACCTACAGTTTCCCGTTTTTTGTGTTTCGTATTGCTTGTTCGATTTCCTCTATTATGATCTCTGGCCCCGTTTCGCTGTCGATTTCTTTCGGTTCTTGTCGATTATCCTTAAACAGATCTGCTATGTATGTCTTCCATTTTTTTAATTTCTCCTTAATTTCTATAATGATTTTTTCATTTGCGTCTTTTAGAAGGGCATCTTTCTTTTTTCTCAGTGTATTTGTCATTTCTTTTATTTTCTTATACATGTTAAAGCTATCATACTGTTTAGCATATGCCTCTATTTCACTGCATTGATTAGCAAGCCAGGAGGATTTGGCCTCTTTTATTTTCTTTCCTATCAATCTCTGTAGTTCCTATTTTGCCTTACTCCTGCCTTTATGTTTCCTTCCTTCCTCCATTAGATCTAAAATCTCTGAAGTCATCCATCTCTGTTTTTTCTTATTTTTGTCTGCAGTAGCTTTTCTCCAGCCTTTATTAAAGTTTCCTGTACCATGTTCCGTTTGTCATTAACATCTGTTGTTTTTATCACGTCTTGTTGTAAATCTTAAAAATAGTTTTAAGTTTAAGTTTAATAACCTATTGATTTTCCATAGATAGTTTGATTTCTCCAGATATTAGTAATTTTAAAAAAGTTTTTTCCCAGTCCCCAAAGGTTCTGAATTTTCCCCAGTTCTGAGGAAAAATCCCCAGACTTGGCATCCCTGTACTGATAACCGAAGTAAACAGGCGGCCGGCGCCGAGCTTGTATGATGATTGAGACGATACATCTGACAACCAGTTGTGTTAGGGTTGGATTTCGATTTCGGTCCTACAAATAGTTCTTTCGCGAACTAGTTCACTGAACTAGTTCGTCTAAAAGAACTAATAAGCACAGCTCTACTCTGCATCTCTGGAATAAGACTTGTACTGAGAACAAAGCCTCTCTAGTACCAACAGCATTTGTGAACCTGAACTGATTGGGGGAAATTTGACTTTTACACAGCTTGTAGATTCTCATGAATTATCTTTAGGAACAATTTTAGGAGATGACTCATGAGGCTTATAGTACGGTAATCTTCGCATTCTTGTATAATCAACGTAAATTTGTATTTAATCTAATTATTATAGACTAGCTGACCCGGCTAAAGTTCAATAACTAAAACGTAACAAAAAACCAAAGGAAAATATATAAACAATATTTTGACGAATTGATTAAGGTTAAAATGTCAGTTGGTAGTTCAGATTTCTTTCCAAGATGGTGCAACTAGTTATTGTCCCGGACAAATAGTGTAACTTGTTGACATAGCCTTTTATTAGATTAGGTAGGAATTATTAGTTATGTATTGACATAGGTTATAGGTGTAGGGTAGACTAGCTTTTATTTACAATATTAGCCCAGCCTGGGTTAAAATATAACTGTTAAGTTATCAAATAAAGAACTTAAAAGCACCATCTACATTTTTTTGAAATTGAAAAATGGAGAATCGGTTGGATTAGCGTAGCGGGAGCCCAACACCACACTGTACATTCGACAACCATCATGAACGTCTACACGATGCATAGTGTACGACACCAAAAATAGAGTAACGGCAACCAACAGTCCACGCATGATCTAAACCGAAAGACAAATAATTGATAATTAGTTATTTTATTAGGAAGGTTACTGAGATCACTCGCCTCCATAATCAGAATACTACAAATTTCACCAAATATATAACTTATCTAGCGTAACATATTTAACTTATAGGTTTTAATCCGAACTCTACGGACGATTTGAAAAACGGTATAAAACTTATACATAACAATCTATTTCGGAACGTATTAAATCTGGTAACTTACTTCATCCATGTTGGGATTTAAAATTCTATTATTTTCATCTCTATTTGCTGTTTCTGTTATTTGTTTTACAAAATACTGAACAATTGACTCTTTTACTCGTTCTTTATCATCTTCGGCCTGGAATTAGAAATGAAATATGAGTTTAAATTAAATTAAATTACTTTTATCAGACTCGAACGTGCAAAAGTTATATCCTTTGCTCGGAAAGTTATATCCTTTGCTAGGAAAAGATTATGCAGTCTTCCATATAATCAGAAGTATATATTGTCATTTAGAGCACCAGTGGTTAACAGATTAGTACTCTTGTATTGCCGTGCAAGCAAATCCGGCTGCATAACTCATCGGGGTGGAAACTTTGTAATTTTATTAATTAATAACATGGCCAACGGACATAGGCTCCTAAGCTCTAAGGTAAATTGCAAAGCCATGTACTTTACAAAACAAGAACAAATTACGTGTTTTTTTTATTGGGGTAAATACCCCCACAGCCAGATACAAATTTTTAAAAACAGATACAGTACAAGGATTATACTCTTCTCGCCCAGGGGCCAATAGGGCATTTTAATAAACGATAAAAGATGGGCCTCGGACAGATAAGTATGATTATTTGTTCATCTGTGGTTAATTCGTAATTTATTTGTTCCCCACTTACTATACTTTCTTTGGCAATTTGATCTGCAATTTAAGTGTTTGTTATTCTTGTGTGTGCTTTGACCCAGAAGAATTTTATATATTTATTTTGATCTTGTAATTTTTTAAGTATTGCTTGGATGCTAAAAATAATGTCATTGGTTGTGTTTGAGTTTGATTTTGAAATTTTAAGAACAGAAAGTGAATCAGAAAAGATTATAGCATTCTGATCCTCTTCCTGATAAACATATTCTAATGCTTTTAGAATTGCTATTGCCTCAGCTGTAAAAATAGATGTGTTTTTGTCTAACTTACATTTTTTCTGTATACATTTAGATATTATGAAAGCGCAACCTGTACCATCGGTGTTTTTTGACCCATCAGTGTATATAATGACGTCGTTTGGATATTCCTCTAAAATTTGTGGTTTTAAGGTCACGTTTCTTAATTCATCACAAATAGGAGGAAAGTTTTTATGAATCTAAAAAGGCTTAGTTAGGTTGTATTCGTTTAACTTGTATATGCTGCTAGCTGCTAGCGAATTAATAATCATTTTTTTCAGCTTATTATAGGAAATTATGTGTTAGGTTTTGTCGAAAGATAGTTCATTGTTATTAAAGTTAGTGATATCTAACGGTGTTAATGGATATTCATACAGTAAATGCCTAAGAAGAAGTGGAATTACTTTACCAAGGTGTACAAAAGGTACCGAAAATAACGAAAACTAAAGAAATGACGATAGTCCTAGGTAATCTCAATGCAAAAATTGGAAAAAGGCAAAGTGGAAAGTGTGTAGGAAACTATGGTCTGGGAAATCGCAACGGGAGACGGGACCATCTATTACAGTTTTGCCAAGAGTAGAACTTGATTATTACAAACACATTTTTCAAGCTACTAAACAAACTACTGAATACATGGCGATCACTCGAAGATACATCAGAGAAAGTAGTTACGAACCAGACAGACTACATTATGATAAATGATAAAGACCATAATGCTGTTAAAGTCGTGAAAATATCTCGGAGCAGATGTGGCCTCAGATCACAACTCACTTATCGCCAGGATTAAACTCACATTCAAAAACATTTAAAGATATAAAATACTTCCTGCAATAGACATAAACAAGCTTAAAGAATCCAACCTAAAAGATTGCTTTAAATGAACTGCATGTAAACTGTAGCAAACTGAACATAGACACCAATGATATTGACCAGCACTGTGATCAACTAAAATATTGTCTAATGGAATTGTGTAAAGAAATACTAAAGACATTCGCAAGGAAAAAAGGGGAATGGATGAATGACGAGATATTCAATATAATGGAACAACAGACAATGTAAGAACAAAGATAACAATAAATATAAGGAGATTAACCACTAGATCAGGAAGATGATAAAGCAGGCGAAAGAAAAATATTTTAAAGAGAAATGCAAAGAGATGGAGGACCTTTAAAAAAGATACAATCTATTTAATCTTAATAATTAATTTAAATTCAAAACATGCATATATCCTTTTATTTTATATATCTGTTGTCATTACTGACTGAAAGTCCTCTGTATAAGTACTCAAGTAATTGTTCGTTTGTTTGGTCACATATGCATTTGTTTATATACACTATGTATTTTAGCCTTAGTTTCTTGAGGTCCTGAAGATGCTGTAAAAGGTTGTAAACAGTGAAACCGGTAGCCCATTCTTTTTTTAGCTTTAATAAAATGTATTATGGATTGTGAAGAAAAGACTTATTTTCCTAACATTCAAGAATGGATAAAGTTTCAAAGTTGAAAATACAAACCACTGAAAACTAAAAGAGCAAGATCACAAGATCAATTCTAATTAAAATAGAAGGGTTGATAGGTATAAAAAATGAATAGGTTGTGTAGACATTTACACTAAATTTTATAATATAGTTTACCTTAGGTAACCAAACATTGATAGAAATACTGGTCTCCAAGTTTTCAACATAATGCCACCACTTATGTGGTACAAATAGCACATCTCCTGGATTTACTATTATTTTCCTACATTTATTACTTAAACCTAAAAAGGAATCAAAGTATTTACATATAAAAAATATACATACATATATAAATTACCTATAAAATCATTAATATTAGGACTGAAAAAATTCAACTTTGAATATATACTTGATTCCTCATAAGGTATTCTAGTTGGTTTCAGATTTTCTTCTGGGGGAAACAGTAGCCAGCTTTTTCTGAAAAATAGTGTTTGATTAAACAAAATATCGACTGTTTGGTTGTTTATCAAAATTTCAAAATTGTAAATTTGTTTAAAGCACATGGTGTTCGTGTGTATTAAGGTATAAAAAAAGCGCTTATAAAAAGCTTAAAATTTTTATTTTAAAGAAGATCTTTTCGGAATTGTATCATTCCATCATCAGTTTAATAAAAAGTTGTTGAAAAAAAAACATTGTATGGCCACATAAAAAACATTTGGTAGACATCTGGATTTAAAAAGTAATCTTCATGTTATTTATTCAGGTAAATGCAATAGACTCTTAAATTGGGTATTAATAAAAAATCAAAATGGGGGCATCTTATATGACCCCTGTAGCTGGTGAGGTTTTATCGGCTTACATTACCTCTGATCTGTGTTGAAGTCTAGGGCTAACTGTTAGCAGTTATAAGCTTATTATTAAGCTTTTTATAAGCGCTTTTTTTATACCTTAATACACACGAACACCACATGCTTTATATTCAACAGGTATACTAGCCACTCCTGGATATCTCCACTTCATGGTTTGTTCCAGTTTAACTTTTTAAAAATGTAAATTTGTTCATTGAACATTTAAATGGTACCAAAATTCCAAAACTAAGTAGTCACATTTTCCAAAATGACATAAGTTTTCCAAATATACTAGTGCACAATTAGAAAAAAACATGGATGTTGTAGATCTGAGCTTTCGATACAAATAATTCTTGTAATAATTTAAAGCAAGTTCTATGAATCCCACATAAACCTTTTTTTATATTATTGATCAAGTTCATTTTAGTTCTTTCAAAAGTTTTTTTCCTCTGCCTTAGAATGATCTATTGTATACATCAATTAATAAATTACACAAATTTGGAAAAATTTGATACCATTAATGTAGCCCATACTTTACATAATATGTAGATATAAGTATTTTATACATACGACCCATAAATTTGATATACTAGATTAAATCCATAGCAATCCATATGACATGAAGTGTGAGCACCTTTTGAACCTATCCATATTGTACAGTCTTCTGGTTTAATATCTGGAAAACCAAGTGGACCCCATTCAAGTTCCTAAAATGATAAGACCTCTATAAGATTTTGTGATACATGCATTTTGCAAGCGTGAAATAATGGCATGTTACAGCACTTTTTTTTACTCATATTTTACCTTTATTATGATGTTAAAAAAGTGATCCTTTATCCACTAATATGAGTTTAAAAAGTTTACTTTTTTAAATGATTGTAGAAAAATAAATTTTCTGACAGAGCAAAAAATCAGGTCTGCTTAAGAAAATGGGAATAAAAACACTAAAATTCACTATTGCAAAGTACAGACAAGATGTTTTCTAGAAATATGTTATAAATATTTATAAAAAATGGTAAAACATTCATTTAGGCTAGTCAACATTTGGGTCGACACCACTTGTTAAGAGAAGAACATACATACTTGCCTAATATTTTGATTATCCTTAAACCAGATATTTAACTGTTTATAATCAAAATATAGCCATTCTGTTGTGTTATTTTGAGCAAGATTTAGAAAATATTCAAAATCGCCTTTTAACAATTTTGTTTTTCGTTCCCATTGAGGCTCCTTTGATGAAGTATTAAAACCTCTGCGAAATTCTAATTTTTCATTTTGAAGTGCTGATTTCCAATCACCTAAGGTCCATTGTAGTATTTTCCATTTTAAAACATTCTTTATTATGATAGGTTCTTGTTTATTTAATATAATATTCCTTAAATCGAACGAACAATTTCCTTCCATAGTCTAATTTAGATTTTTTAAATAAAAATATAACCTATAAATACAAACAAATTTTTTGACATTAATAAATAAGGTTAGGTTAGGTTAATCCATAATCCTAAACACTGTTATGTATTAAGAAAATTTAAAAGTAAAATGAGCAGAAATTTTCTTTTTTTAAAGTCTTTATCTTTACATTTTAACTCCAATTTTCATTCATCATGCTGTTATCAAGCCGCTCCTCGACAAGCAGGAAACTTTATGAAAAAAGTTATGGGAGCTATAAAAAAAAAGTACTGGTTTTGGTACCATACATCCGTTTTTAAGAGGAATTAATATATATTTTTTTAGAAAACCATATTTTAAGGAAGCAGCCCCAAATATTACAGACGCATTTTCCAAACCTTCAACAGGACATATTTCTACAAATCCCAGACGAGTAGCAGTTTTAAACAAATTATTTATGAGAAACATTACTGACTTAATGTCTACTGAAGTATATTCTTCCCAATTACTTGGTTTAGGAGTAGAAATCAATAAAGTAAAAATTAGTACAGATTATAAAATTTTGAAAGTTTACTGGACTTCAGCAAATATTCACCAAGAAAAAGCAGAGGAGATATTATTAAAAAATGCAGGGTTATTAAGACATGCATTATCTCAGTTGCGTTTAATGGGCAATGTTCCCATAATTCAGTTTGTAAAAGGTATTTATTTTATTTTCAAACATTAAATTATTCAGTATAATTTGTAATCAATATCTTCATAGTATGGATACTGTTATTCTATTATGCATAGTCAGTCCTAGTGCTAGGGTATAAGGTGCTCACCTGCAAAACTAGCATATGCGCCCTTCAATTTTTTTTAAAATTTAGTTGTATTTGCCCTTTGGCAGTTGTTTTATTTTAATTAAATGCAACACTAGATGATGTTCTTTAAACTGCACAGTACGCTAACAAACTATTCTGTGTTACTAAACACATAGAATACTAAATTGACAAAGCTCCTGATAAACTAAATTTTATGTAAAGTGTTTATTTTACTACAAATCATTCATTTATGCTTCTAACTGCTGACTGCTGCTGACACAAAATCTACCTTGAAACAACTTAAAGAAATTTGAAAAAAAAATTAACAAAGCATTTTAACTACATAAGTGCAAATTTGTTTTTTTTGGTGAAACCTAATATCGTCGTCGACACAAGAAAACCGGTTAACCTCCAATTTTTACTCAAAATGAGATTTCACTGCCAACTTTTAGCAAATCGCCTATTCTAGCCATCCGACAAATAATACGTCATTTAAATGTAGATTTCTAATTTTAAAATGTTTACTAGAAAAGCAGGTATCTCCCTTGTCAAAAAAAATTATGTTTGTAAAACACGTAACTCCGCGCATTTTCTGTTAAGTCTGTTAAGTGATTATGGCCGTTGATTTGATTTGTTGTTTTGGAACATGCTTTTAATAAGTTCTAGACATAGACATGGACAGAAAAAAGAATGTATATCAAAACGTTGGTAGTATTTGAAGCACCAAAACGGAAGAGGGATAGAAAAAATAAAGATGTATCACGGAGGTCTAAGACATTAAAATATTATTTGAAAATTGGAGAAGATAAACAAATGGTATGCAAAAAAATGTTTTTGTCAACTCTGGACCTTAAAGATTGGTTTGTTATGAATTGAAAACAAGAAGATGATTCTGCTATTACAGAAAATTTGGATAATAAACCACAACAAGCTCCTAAAGGACTT